TGTCTGTGGCCCAGGGACTTGTCCAAGGACTGGTCTGTTCTCTGTGACTATTCCTATTTTAGAAGTCACTGGCCTCAAGAATTTTGAATAAACAATGACACACGATTGAGACTGGGAATAATCTGGATTTTAATGAGCCTTACTTCTGATAGCTGAGGTATATTTTAAGGTGATTAAAAGTATGTAGGATGGATTAGAGAGGGAAAAGATGTGAGGTACAGAAACAATTAGGGCTAGGATAAAGCAGTGAGACTGTTGAAAACTTCTGAGGGAATATGGAGATTAACTGATAACACTGAGCAAGTAATGGTCTTTAAAGTTGCCAGACCTGGGATGCTAATGATTTTATTAGTAGAAGAAAGAGAAGTGGGCATTAAGGAAACTGAAGAGAAGTAGCTGGTAGAACAGTGAAGCAGGAAGATGGGTTTGGCTGAGATAGAAGGCACTGACACGTGACAGTAATGGAAGACGTCAAGTGTTGAGGGACTACCAGACTCTGGGAAATCTTGCATACGCTAGGTATTAACTGCAGCTTCTGTTGGACATTTCTCAGAAACATACTTTTTTTTTTTTTTTTTTTTTAAAGATTGTATATATGCTTGCAGAGTCCGGAAGAGGGCAGTTGGTTTGTAGTTATAGAAAATTGTGAACCACCTGACTTACGTGCTGGGAACCAAACATGGGTCCTCTGGAAGAGCATCGAGTGTTTTTAGTTGCTGAGCTATGTCTCCATTCTGAATCTTTTTGTTTTTTAAGAGAGGGTTTCATGTATCCCAGGTTGGCCTCAAACTTGCTATGTAGGCAAGGATGACCTTTAACTTCACTCCTCCTCCAACCTCTTGAGTTCTGGAATTATAGATGTGTTCTACCACAAAGGATTTTAGGAGGTACTTGGCCTTGAACCCTGTGCTTCGTGTGTGCTAGACAAGAGCTCTACCAAGCTGTGTTGCTAGCCCACATTCTGTACATACAAAGCAAAGACAGATACATAGAAAATCTCAATATAACATGTGCATTTCTTATAGAAAAAGTAATTTAGAGCAGATTTTAAAACTCAGTTGAAGAACAAGAAAAACATTTTTTTTTGAAGCAAGTAACACTAATACTGTAGAATTTAATTGTTTATTTAAAAGCTTATTCTGGAACTAGGGATACAGCTCAGTTGGTAGATTACTTGCTTATTTGCATGCATAAGGCCCTGAGTTTGATCTCCAGCATTGAATAAAACTAGGCATGGTGGAATCCCAACACCAGGGAGGTGGAACAGAAGGTTCAGTAGTTCATTGTCATCTTTAGCAAAATGGTTCTGGGCTAGAGAGATGGCTCCACAATTCAGAGCACTGGCTGCTCTTGCAGAGGACATGTTTGGTTCTCAGCACCCACATGGTGCCTTCTAACCATCTTTAACTCCAGTTCCAGGGTACCTGACTTCCTCTGGTCTCCTTGGACACCAGGCATCCATGTATGATACATACATATCAGGCAAACAATCATACACATAAATCTTCAAACACATAGATGAAATACTGAGAAAATTGCAAATTTTTATTTATATGGGTAACTTTCTTTATAAGGGAGTTAATGTCTGTTGGGTAATAGAATATGTTTATTTTACTGATTTCCTGCCTCTTACTAGATAAGACATGAATACATATAAACTGGTTAAAAACTTCAGTAAAATAGGAAGACCGTCACATTATTAAATAGTTTGAGTCATGGTCATTGAAAAAACAAAAAAACTCCACGTGTGCCTGGTGCCCATGGATCCCCTGGAACTGAAGTTACAGATGTTAGGAATTGCTGTGTGGGTGCTTGGAACCGAACACCCTAAACCATCTCTCCAACCCTCTCTTAACCTTGAGATGAAGGGATCCAGGGAACTGGATATAGCTCAGTATGCAGCTTGCAACTGCCTCCTAACGGTTTTAATACATTCTTAAATTATTTGTGCAAATGAAGAAGTAGACTTTAAAGAGTTTTGAATTCCTTAGACCTCCTACCTGGCAGATCTTGAGGATGGCATAATTCCCTGTTGCTTTGAATAGATACTAAGTTTCCTGAGCCATATTCCAGACTTAAAGAATGGTAACATTAAAAAATGTGTTTTATTATTTGTGTGCGTGTGTGTCTATGTCTGTTTCTGTGTGTCTGTGGTGCCCACGGTGCACGTCAGGACAACTCTACTTCCACCTTTATGTGGGACTTGTGGATCAAACTCAGGTCATCAGGCTTACAGGGCAGGCACTTTTACTTGCTGAACCATCTTGCTGGCCAACATGGTAACATTTTATACAGAATAAAAATGGGGGGGGGGGGCGAAAAAATTTAAAAAAAAAAAAAAAAAAAAAACCCCAAACCCAAACCATTCCCATTTTAAAG